TGATGACACAGGGTCAAAAGGTTGACTGGTATCTGCTGGGCATGGGTAACGAAGTAGACATGCACACCGTTCACTTCCACGCTGAGACATTTACCTACAAGGTAATGTTCACTATAACTGTACGATGTGGACTGAACAGAAAAATTGAAATCACTGTTGTTTGTGTTAACTTCCCTTAAATATTGTTTGTTTTCTTCCCTTCTTCCTCTCCCACTCTACAATGAGTCAGACAGATAATGTCCACCGTGCTGACGTCTTAGATCTCTTCCCCGGTACTTTCCGGACTGTGGAAATGGTTGCTGGTAACCCAGGGACTTGGTTGCTTCACTGTCATGTGACCGATCACATCCACGCTGGCATGGAAACCACTTTCACCATCAAAGGTGTGTTTGCTTACACAATGTCATGAGCCATCCCTATTTTTACATTTTACTACAAAAGGACACCTAAACTGCACATCATGTTTCGTAGAATGATTTCATAGACAATCGGATTAAAGACAGCATTGAAAATCCTCATTTTTGATGACCATTCATTTTTAAAAACATATTCTAGGCTGTGATTCGCAACATTCTTAATTTTGTCTGAAATAAACCCTATATCATTGAGTCATATATTAATCTGCACATGGTTTACATTACCACAATGTTTTTTTTTTCTCTTCCAGAAACCGTATCAAATGGTAAGCACTTAAGTACGATATTATTATTATTATTATTGTTATTATTATTATTATTGTTGTTGTTATTATTATTATAAATAGAGAATGGATCATGACTTGTGAGTAACCCTCTGCACCTCATTTGGAAACCCTCCCTATGATATAACAACAATAAGGGTCAGCAGGTTTTGAACTCTTGCACTTCCTACTTCCATGCCAGTCCTCTCTTATCTCTGGCTTCCTTCCTTCCTTTCTCTCTAATATCATCATGTTATGTTTTTTTTTTTTTTGCAGCTAACAGAAGGACAGTGACACCGCTGCTCCTGTTTATATTTGGTCTCATCGCTGTGATTGAATTCTGCTAAAGACACCGGAGGATTACGTTACCACATTTAAGCGCTTAAAGCCACTCAGGGACAAAGATAATGCTTTGCAAACTGTATATTTGGTGGAGGAAGTGTAATGTATATGTATATGTAGGGTATAAAAGAGTAAGACATTAGGGCAGTGGTGGCCCTGGTGGTTAAGAAAGTGTCCAGAAGGTCGCAGGTTTGAATCCACCAGCCACTGAGGTGCTGTGAGCATGAACTGCCCCCACATACTTTCTTCCCAACGCACTTGACTATGGTTAAATGCAGTGGAAACAATTCGTGGTGTGCTGTGCAACAATGACAACCATTTCACTTAACTTAAAGTAAACAGGAAACCTTGTATATGTGGTCTGCTGTGTAGTGTTTTTTCCTATTGTGTCTCTTACATGAGGCCCATTGTTTAATGTGTTGCTGCTCCCACCAAGTACTGATGTACATTTCATATTACAAGTGAGAATACACAATAAATATAACACATAATTTCAGAAGTGTTGTTAATTTTGCTCTGACTGTACTGGGTTTGTAAGTACTTTGCGTGTTTGTTGGTTTTCTCTGTTGTCGTCCTCTCTCAGTCTAACAACATGTAGACTGGGGATTATGTAAATTATACACTTTAGATTGCCCATAGGTGTGAGTGTCGATCATAAGTGTGAACGGTTGTCTATCAGAGTGTACCCCGCTCCCAAGACATTGTACAGGACAAAGCAGAGTCAGGTATATATAACACCACAAGATGGCGTTATTTTCAACAAAACAAGAAAAGTAAATCCGCACCCCTGAAGTTCAGGGCATATATAAAATATAAATTTGAAGAAAGAATGTTAAAGTAATAAATAGCCATAAGAGTTACAAAATAACTTTACGATAAAAGGAATTGAATTCAGATAAGAGAAATATTCTGTATGTGTATATGAAAAATCTGATAAAAATCTGATAAGAACAACAACAGAAAGATCTTGGATTAGTCTGCTGATTCTAAATCAGCTACAGGACACATTAGGACATATTGTACACCACATTACTGACTTCAAAATACTGCACACCATTTCTATTGTAGAGAATCTGTAGTGATAATGCTCACAATTTAGCAATGTAATAGGAAGAAGTTCACAAATTATTATACACAAATATACAAATAATTATTACAAATTAACTGCAGCTTATTGTGTGCTCACTAACATGGTTGATGCTTTATATTTGGGCTGTTTAGGCCGGTGGTGGCCTTTGGGTGGTGCTAAATACGCATTTTGCCCAAGTGTGCTGTTCTAGAAGAACAAGGAAATATTGAATAAACATTTATTACTGCCAACCGTTCCAACTTCAGTGTGCTATAATGCTAATATTATGCAACAAGTCCAACATAAACTTCCAATTTTGAAGCTGTACATGTTTACTCCTCCCATCCATCAATTTCATTTACATAGATTATAAGTTTGCTCATCTGAAGTTTTGACAAACAAAGTCAGTCCAAGGTTAGGCTAGGCTAAGCTAACACTCCAAGTAAAATGTTTATATTTCACTGGGAGCTTTGCAGCTTTTACGAGCTGCTATATTGCCGTCTATTGAGCACCTGTACCACAAATGTTTGCATATTTACCTGTTCATTTGCAACAAGGAAAAATATAAACACATACAGAAAGATGGTAGAATCCTTGCTAATAACCACGGTTCTAAGTATTAAAGATATTATTCTATAAAAATACTTTTAAATAAATACTTGTCTTTTGAATGTCCGATATTATTATTAGTATTGATCTATCTGTGTAGAATGCCTTTTGATAAAGCAGGAGAATAGTATCTGTGCTAGAATGCCTTTTGATAAAGCAGGAGAATTATAACAGATTGTGTTTGTATTGGGTTGGTAATTAACCGTTAGATCTGAGCAGTTACATCAGCAAAAATGTGACCCCGTTGATCTTTGAATGTCTGACGTCCTGTCTGGTTCATTAAGTATTGATAGAGGAATGGATTCATGTCACAAACATGTTTTGGAAAAACCCCAGAAAACAGGTTGGTTTGAATTTCAAACGCTGTGGCTTTACCTTTAATCAGAGGCATTGATGACAGTCATTACCACACATTACCATATCATTGTTTGTTTGGACAAGATGAGTGTCCACTCACAGACTGATTTACATGCATTGATTACAGTTTCAGCGTGACACGCTGTTAGCGGACCATCAATGGAGTTTCAGGCATGGAAAAGCGATCTTCACTTCCAGTTTGCTGATGACATCACCTTCGCTTTCACAAATTTAAAAAAGAACAAATCTGATTTCCAGACTAGCTTTTACCTGAACAATTATTGAGATTTAAGTCAATTAATAAACTACTGATGAACTGATCCTATTGTTTGGACTTTTAAACATTGTTTAATGTTTTACTGGTAAAAAAAGAAGTTATTTTATTTACTTTACTATAATTATATATATATATATATAAAAGGAAAACTATCTGGATCATTTCATTACACAATATCGATAAACTATTTAAAATGAAATAAATCCAGTTCATTAGATCCAGCTGAACTGCTTTCCCTGAACAGGAAAAACAAACTCCAAGGTAAATGTTTTACGTACATTAGATGGTAAACACGGCCTCAGCCTCCTTTTATCAGTTCTTCTCATTGATCCTTAACAGCTGCCGAAGCACCGTATCTAAAAAAGTCCATTATGTTTTCAACCAGACTTTGTTTTGCTTGATTAACCCTTTCCACTGTTCCTGGTTAAAGCATTTCAGATTTCCCATTGCACTGTGGATTTGATAAAATCAACCTGTGCCATCCTAAAGAAACTAAACATTAAAGGTCATTTTAGGGGTTGGCCTCACACGAGTCAATAGGGGGCGCCATGTGCAGCTCACCACAGTATATAAAACTGACTTGTCACAGATAAGTAGTCTTTTAAACGACCAGAGTACATCTGTGAGTGTGGAGCTGGAAACTGCTGCTTAGAGCCTGCAGAGGTAAATATCACATGTAGTATACGTGTATTACTGTAGTAGAGGTATATACAGAATATATATATATTAATATGCAGGTTGTATATTTGAATTCTATCATAATCTTCAGAAATGTATGCATTATCGTTTAACTGAAAGCAAAGTAACATTTGCTAGTGAATATTTGTATCACAGTTTGTTTACGTGGCTAAGTATTTTATTGTTTAATGTTATTTACAGTTAACAATTCAGTTTTATTCTTTTACTGTAGTAGTTGAGATTGTTTATGAGAACATGTAAAAGTACATGGAGAGAAAAGAAAAAAAAATGATCTGAGTAAGCCGATTTGTTTGCTGTTTGTCTGGCAGCTTTTTTGTTTTTGGATGCACAACAAGTAATTACAGAGAAAAGCTGGTCGCGCTTCGATGAGCCTGAGAACATATTTACGGGCTGTGTAGGAATAAAGAGGAGCAGGGAGAGAGAGAGTACACAGATAGAGAGGCCATGAGATGAGGGGGAAGTGAGGGAGCCCCAAATTTCTCTCTGAGTCCAGTTTGATCCAGTTTTCTGACTAAACAGCACAAACTTGTGTGGATGCTGCTTCAGTTAGTTATGTTGCTGTAACGTGATGTAAGCTCTTTGTCCCTGCAGCAGTGATGTCATGATCTTTGTACTGGCAGTAGAGTTAATAATTCGCCTCTCTTCATTACTGTGAGTTTAGTTTAGTTTTAGCATAAATGTGTTTAGCTCTTATTTGGAAAATACATGTTAACTGGTCAACCAATTTCCTTAGGTTACATTTGAATCTTTTTTTATAAATTATGTGATTAAGAAAAAGTAAAACTTCTCTTGTCCACTGATTTCATTGATAGGCTAACTATAAAACCTCCCCCTTCCACTTCACAGATAAGTGATCACGGCTCCTCCATCCTGGGTCAGTCAGGACGACTCTTCCCTCTCTGCTGCTCTTCCTCTCCCTCTTCGTCTTGCCTTTCTTCTCCTGTCTGTAGTTCACCTTCCTTCCAACAATGCCTCCGACCCTGGCCACAGCCTTCGCCAGGCGCTGGTGGATGGCAGTGACGGCCATTGTTGAGAATCTGCTCTTCTCTGCTGTGCTGTTGGGATGGGGATCTCTCCTCATCATGCTCAAATCTGAGGGCTTCTACTCTTACCTATGCAACGACGAAGGTGAGTCACAAGTGTGTGTTCTGCCACATTCTCCCTGGCTGTAGTTTTTTTTTTTAATTCAGTCACAGTTGCTCAATCCTTGGGAACTGGACTTCCCTTTTCTCATGAAACTTGCTGTCTTTGTTGTCAGGTAATTTAAATGAAGACATTCATCAGAGGCCAATTCGTATTTAAAGGCTGTAAATGAACACCCCCACTCACCTCGTCCATTCTTTAAGAAGAATAAAAGAATTACCTGAAAGGGCTCTTATCTGTTTTTAAAGAGGTGCCCATAAGATTAAACCTGGCCTTGTGAATATATAAGAGTGAGTAGGGTTACCAGATGGATGACTGTTATATATGGTGGAGTTACAAAACGTTATTTTTTGAATGAGGCAATTGCAAAATAATATCTCTAGTTTAATAGTTCAAGTTTACGAAAAGAAGAGATTCTGCCTCATATTCCTGATAAAGATTAGAATTTTAAACTGAAAATATTTGGCAATATTTATATTACAAGAATAAATTGATGAATCCCTTTAAATTAAGAGACTGATTGAGAGAATAATATCTGAATAAATGCATGTTTTATACATTTTTGAGCAAAGCGTAGATTAATAAGATTCATGAGATTAATAAGAAATGTATAACTTTAATCATATTTAACTAATAAGTCAGAAATGTATAACTTTAATCATATTTAAGGATGTTTTATTGATCATTTGTGGAACATATCCTATAATTTAATGTCTGAAATATTTTCAATTATTGACATTAATCAGTGATGATATACTGATAATTTTCTGTGAGAACACATTAATACGTCTTTGGGCATTTATAGCAACCCTAATGGAAGGTTCACTTCCTGCAGCATTGTCATAGTAATCTTATCTACCTCTGATGACATAAGACAGAGAGAGAGAGAGTAACAGTTGAACCAGCTCAGTTCTCTATCCTGACATGTGACATGTGGTCGAGTGGCTGAGAGCTCCACCGCCACCACAGTTTATGACCAGTAATATGGAAGTTCAAAGTCCACAGATTAAGATTGAGGAGGCGGTGAAGACAGATAGGAAAGTGATGAACAGTAGAAATCAGACCACACTTGAGCTGACAGTAATAAAAATGGGAGAAAAAAAGGTGAGGTGGAGATTAGGGATTTGTGCACATGCAGCAGAGATATGATTTAGGCTTCTTTTATATGAGGAGGACAGTGAACCCAGAGGGTAATGCTTTACTACTGAACTGATAAGTACATTCTTTTAGGTGAGGCGCTGTATCTCTCAAAAGTGTTACTGAACAAGAGCGCATCACTTTGTTGTGAAGCATGTCAACGTGCTTAGCACGTGCTAACATCAGAGTTCTCTCCTCTGGCCACGAAGTTGTCACAAAGGTGTCAATGAGTTTAGTATAGACATCCATTTGTTTACTGCCCGTCCTCCCTTGAACCTTCACACTATCACATTGTAATGGAGATAAGGAGACATTTATTGCGAATACCATCTTATCAATTTGATCCATGGAATTCCAACATAAAAACAGATTGTCACTTTCGTCTATCTGTGAGTCTAAGGTACACACATGCAGGACTATTTGTCATTGTACATGATGAGGTGTGTAAACAAAGACCCTAAATTCAAAGTTTACCCACGTGATGTAAAGCAGTGATGTGTAATATTTGGATAATATGTCCGAACTATTTGGGTAGCCACAGGTGACAAGGTCAAAGGTTAAAATACTCAGGTACCACCTGTACAAAGAGAAACTACAAATGTTCTAAAAAGCCCAGCACTGTCCCTGAATATTCTATTTAATAGAAAAACTGTTTAAGCTGAAAAAAAATCAACTAATTTTCCCCCAATTTTATTTTACTTACTAGTAAAGCAAATGTAGCAAAGTTATCTGTTTGTACATAGCACAGAGGTTAGCCCGAAAATGGAGTACATTTTTGATGTTAAGTTAGCCCCAAATAGGTAAATTCACTAGAAAAGGTTAGCTGGTTAGCTAAGTAGCTAGGTAAATGCCAAGAAATGAGAGAAAAGCTAAAGATTTTGGTCAGAAATCATTATCCAATAACCTACTGTTAGCTTAAAGATAACCCAGTTGTACAGGATCATTGTTAGACTAGTCAAAAGTGCTACAAACTTAACAGTTACAAATCAACCAAAATAGCTAACGTTAACTCAGGAAAGTTAGCTAGCAGACAGCAAAAGAATTTTATTAAATTACCCCAGAAACAGAAATTACCCAATTTTGAGGCTAATAGGTTGAAACATGAAGTAGCTCTGGTTTGTGGACAACAGTTTTTTTCTATATGTTCCATAAATCTGTCCACTCTTCTCCTCAGGCAACAGCTCCAGCTATAATCTGTCCCTGCCTGAGCCCACGCCAACACCCGATGAATACTCAGACTATTACGATGACGTTGTGGTGGGGCTGGGGGACGGGGTCGAGATGAGACCCCTGGTGCCACCAGATGGGCCCATGAGGATGAACGGCTGGTTGATCTGTAAGGAGCAGGATGAGATGTTGAACCTGGCCTTCACTGTGGGCTCCTTCCTACTCTCAGCCATTACACTGCCTCTGGGCATCGTGATGGATAAATATGGGCCTCGCAAGCTACGTCTGCTGGGCAGGTGAGTAGGAAGACCTCACTTTGAGAATCACATGGAGCAAGAAATTATTATTCTATAAATGACTTATGATTTATCTGACCTATTGAAACATCTGACACTTGTATCCATTTTCAGCACCTGCTTCGGGCTGTCTTGTCTTCTCATTGCTTATGGAGCTTATCAACCTAACGGTAGGTTTGTGTTGAAAAACCATTTAGACCTGGTTGTACTGATTTTCAAAGACATTCATTTGTTTACTGACAAACTTGACCCAATGTGTGTCCTTCCCAGAACTCTCTGTCCTTATCTTCATCGCCCTGACTTTCAACGGCTTCGGGGGCATGTGTATGACCTTCACCTCTCTTACAGTAAGTATTTGCAGTTTCTTTTTTTTTTTTTTGCTTTTGCAGCAAATGCTGCAATGTCTATGTATGTAATGCTACTCAAATCTCAACCTCAGAGTGGACCAGCCTGTGGTCATTAGAGAAAGGTTGAGAGATGCTAAAATATATTGCTCGGCAAATCATTCAAAATGTCTGCCATCTTCATAACAATTGACAGGTCATCAAACCTGTGGCCCAACTGAAGTTCATGGTTTGGAAATCTGGCACAACTTAATTATGAAAGTATGCAAAGGGTTTTGTCTCTGCTGCTATTATAATAGTTCACAGGTTTTCGTGATATCGTCACTCCAAATAAATCCCCCCTCCCTCTTGTTTGGCACTCCGCCCTTCCCCTTGTTTTTGGCTTACTCCTCTCTCAGCACTCAGTGTTCCCGTCAGCGACTGAGCTGTGCTTAGAAAATCAGTAAGTATGCACTGATTGGAGAGAGAAAATGAGACACAAATGAACACAGTGGCTCATTATAACCACCTGCTGCATTTACTGTTCACCAAGAACCTGGAACCCGGAACGGAAAACACCAAACAAATGTACTTTATGCATCATTTTTAATGCTAAATGTTAAAAGCCAATAATAAGAAGTTTTAGATTTGTTTTTTACAAACACTAAAAGAATGCAGGGATATTTTTTAGTGCATATTTTGTGTGCCATTTTTTGTTGTTGTAAATCATATACTTGTTGTTGTTCATATACAGTGCAGTACTACTCAACATCTTCCCAGGGCCACTGATACTTTTCTTACATAATTATATAACCATAGCACTTGCAGTAAAAAGAACAACACCAGTGAATTCCCAGGGTTCAAAGGGTCACCCCCCCCCACGCCGAGCACTCCTCTGCATTCTTTCCCTGGCCTTCCTCATCCTCCTGTTCCCTCCCTCCTGCCATCACTTCAGGTTATAGCGACATGCACGGCAGTCCTGGGTCGTACCATGGTGATGCTGTTCACAACAAAGTGGCTTCGCTCCAGTAAATCTGTCCACACATAATTCAATTTATATACCACCACAGGCTGCACTGTGTTTCCCATGTGGTTTTGTCGCGTTCACCTAAATCTCCCATCAGTTGCTGCCACAGGCTTAAATCTCAACGATGCCGTAAAAAAACACAGAAAGCCTACAGTGTGAAAAAAGGAGAGGTAAAAAAAACATGTTTATGTCCTCTTTCCATTACTCTCCTCCCTGAGCTGCACCTAGAAGCCTCCGTGTGGGGTTAATTATTAGTCTTCAAGTTGCCTGTTGACTCTTTGATTGTGACTTTTAAGACTTAGGAGTCATTCTTTCTTGTGCAACATCTTGCAGTCAACATCAGCTACCTGCTGAAGGTCAGACGCTGGGTCACGTTTTCACTTCTGTTTCAACATCCAAGAAAAATATAATCTCTCGCATGAATGTATTATTATTATTATTATTATTATTATTATTATTATTATTATTATTAGTGGTGGTCTGTCTTAAATGTTTTATTTCTGACTGTCATCCTACTTTTACCCCTGTGACATTTTTCTGCTCCTAACCTTGTTTTTAATTGGTTGCTGCATATCTTAATTCACTTGTCAAAATGCACGATCAGTACAGATTGTAATGCTGTGGAATTCAGAGTTTTCTGTCTCCTTTCTCTCCAGCTGCCCAGCATGTTCGGGGACCTGCGTTCCACCTTCATCGCCCTGATGATTGGCTCCTACGCCTCCTCTGCTGTTACCTTCCCAGGGGTCAAGGTAAGAACTAGTGTCCAGCACATTTTCCCACCTCCTCAGATATTTTACTGCATCTATAAATCTTACCTAACTGTTTTACTGCATATTTTTTTCACTGGGATACTTTTTACTTCTTGTCTGTTTCATGTTTTGTAATTGTTGTCCTGGTTCCACACAGGTGATCTATGACTTTGGAGTACCTTTTATCACCATCCTGGTGGTGTGGGCTGCCTGTGCTGGCCTGGTCTTCCTCAACTGCTTCTTCAACTGGCCCTTGGAGCCGTTCCCTGGACCAGAGGACATGGACTACACGTCAGTACCACACATGTCACTCACTAAAAACAGTTCAACTAATAATGTGGACATAGAAGAAGAGAGTTAGCCACATCATCAGTCAGTCTAACAGTGGTGATGTAACACGTGGTTAAAGTCCAACTGCACACTCATCACTCGACCTCATCGAAACTTTTACAAGTCTTGCTCAGCAGAAAATCTTTTTTAGCTGTCCTGACATTTTGTTGATTTATTGATTTATGTGTTAACTTTTTTTTTTAAATATAATTTTACTTTTTTCATCCTTTGTTTACAGTGTGAAGATCAAGTTCAGCTGGCTGGGCTTTGACCACAAAATCACAGGGAAGCAGTTCTACCAACAAGTGACCACAGTGGGCCGTCGGCTGAGTGTAGGCAGCAGTCTGAAGCAGAAGGAGCTGGCCACTAAAGACGGACACAAGCTGTGCCTCTCCACCATGGACCTGGAAATGGACAGCAAACCACAGCAGGAGTGTACGACTGCAGACCCACCATTGGACTTAGTCAGCTTTACACATTCCATTCTATCGATTCATTCTTGGTGTTTTCTCCTCTGCAGCCCAATCATTCCTGAAAAGCATCATCAGTCCCCTCTTCATGCTCAGCCTGGTGACCATGTCTGTGACTCAGCTTCGTCTTCTGTTCTACATGGGAGCCATGAACAGTGTCCTGGAGTCTCTCAGCGATGGAGACCTCAACACAGGTCTGGTACTGTATGTGTGTCGATCAGGGGTCTCAAACCCAAACAAACTGTTGCCAGATTACATCATGATTGACATCTTGTCATGGGCCAGATGTGGGTGAGATTACGGGCCCAAAATGGCCTGTGGGCCCGGAGTTTGAGACCCCTGGTCGAGGACCTATTGTTTTCTACATAATGACATAGACTCATGATAAAAGCAGCTGAACTTATGTGACTTTAATTGTCCTTTTCAGTGGAGAGAATGGAACTTGGTAAGAAAACAAGCGTAGAGTTGACCAGTACTAAACCCCCAGACTGTTACCTTTCAAACTAACAACTCTTAGAAACGTTAAAACTTTAATGTACCCGCCTTCACCACCTAACACTGTTCAAAGCCACCTCTTTTATTAGTCATGTGACCTTCACTGTTCAGTGACTTCGTCCTTCAGCTCTCCATTAGCTTTAGTCTGAAATCCCCAGATACCATTAGTTGTACTTATTAACTCATTTTGACTGTCAGCGAAGGTGAAGCACACATGAGTAGGATCACATGATTCATTATTTAAGTCCTCAAAAAAAAAATAACCTAATAATGTCTTTTTTTTCCTTTATCCTTCCTCTCTTTGTTTTTATTTTTTTCTTTCTTTCTCACAGTCAGTTCTTTATCCTTCCTCTCTTTGTTTTTTTTTTCTTTCTTTCTCACAGTCAGTTTGTACTCATCTATCTTCGGCGTCCTGCAGCTGCTCTGCCTGATGACCACTCCTGTGATTGGTCAGATTATGGACTGGAAGCTGAAGGAGTGTGATGATGGAACAGAGGAAAAGGAACCCTGCCAAAAGTGAGTCACATTTAACTGCGGCCACGCACGAACTACTAAACCGCTGTTTTGTTGTGGAATATTTGGAGCGCTCCTACAAGGAAGGTGTACATGAAAAAAAATAATGTGTGGCTCGATTTGTTCACCAGGGGAGACCCAAAGAAAAAACGTAGAGACAAAAAGACCCAGAAAATCACCAATGCCTTAAGAGCTTTCGTTCTCACAAACCTCCTACTGGTAGGATTTGGAATCACCTGTCTCATCCCTAATCTCCCTCTGCAGGTGAGTGGACAGTGGTCGCTTTTATGCAAAATTATCAGTGTAATTTTATTATTATTATTATTGCACAAACCTTTCTAGATCTGTAAAATTACTGATGACAATAATAAATACCCTGCAGAATAAACTTGACAAATATTTCTTTCTTCCCCTCAGATTGTGTCATTTGTTCTCCACACTGTGGTGAGAGGATTCATTCATTCTGCAGTTGGTGGCCTCTATGCAGCTGTGTAAGTCTCACTGTACATTCATCAACATTCACGTACTATCTTCATCTTCTAACTCGAGTTTTCTAACTCTCTCTCCCTCCGCAGGTATCCCTCGTCCCAGTTTGGGAGTCTGACAGGAATGCAGTCCCTGGTCAGTGCTGTGTTCGCTCTGCTGCAGCAGCCTCTGTTTCTGGCCATGATGGGACCACTGAAAGGAGATCCGTTCTGGGTAAAAACTTCAACACACTCGCACACGAAACACCTTTGAACACCTTTGAGGTCCCTGAACTCCACTAACTCCCGTTATCCTCCAGGTCAACATCGGACTTTTGGTGCTCAGTATGCTGGGCTTCCTGCTGCCCCTCTTCCTGCTCTTCTACAGGCGGAACCTCCACAAGGAGCAACAGAAGAAGGAGGACAACGCAAAGATCTACATCAAAGTCAACGGCTGTGATCTCCCCGAGGCCTTCGTCTAGGGAAGAGTCAATAAAGAAACAGACGAGGGTTGTTTTTTTCCCTGAGAGACATTGGTGATCCAATGATGGAATTCTAGTCATCACATTTATCAACCTCCAAAATCTCACCAGGCCTATGGCTGATACAAAAGTTGCTGAGGAGAAAAGTGATCGTGAAGAGGAAGAAGAAAAGAGAAAGAGGACAAGACTGTGAAAGGAAAGAGACATCTGTGCTCTGTGTTCCCCCCACGTCCTCTGAATTCTCTTTATGTTCCTCCCTCACTGAGAACCACATCGATGCAGCTCTGCCTCGTGTCAAGTCTGATTTGTAATTCGGAACTGAGGTAGAAAGGAGAAATGAAAAGTGCGTTATGTTGTCGTGAATCCAGCGGGACCAGAAAAGACACCTGCTGCGTTTTTACCATTTTATTATGACACTGCTTGAGGTTTTCTATTCTTTAACATTGTTAAATTGAAATCATGCTGTCCCTAAATCCTAAGATGTGGTGCTACCCACTGTAGATTTAGACTGATCAGCATCAGGTGAGTGAACCGTCGAAGAGTGACAGGAGGCTGATGGGAAGCTGATGAGCTGAATTTTTATAAAAGAAGCTCAGAAGAAGTGTTTTTAATATAGTTTTTTAAGATTAAATATGATGCCACAAATGAGGCTAACATCACAGAGAAGGCACAGAGTATACTGTTGGATGGATGTCAGTGTTTATTGTAGCAGTATTCTGGAACACTAACATCAGAATGTGATTTTTCTTTTTTGATGAAAGCTATGTTTAGATCTATTTATTTTTATCTTCTGAATATAGTTCTACTGGGCCTTTTGGAATACATTTGGTAAGTAAATGTCTAATCTACAGTCAACGTGAGGAAATAATTAACAACCTCAATTAGTTCATATAAATATGAATCAGACATCACTCTTCTTAAGAACAATCTTTTCAAACAAGTTTTTTTTTGTTTCTACTTGACGAAAAGTACGGCACTTTAACTCCTCAACACAGCTCATGTCAGCACTTCTTTCCCGGTGCCACTCTTTGAAAACTAATATCCATATTTTAACTCCAAGCTCCTCCTTCTTGCATCCCTGTATTGTATTTACTTTTTTCCCCCCACATTTTCACAAATGACTCGCATTGAAACGCATTCTGCATGTCACATCCTGTGTTTGCGTCTTCTAATTTCACATCCAGCTCACAGCGATCTCTTTGTTAAACAGGTGTTCACTAGTTTTATGGTGGTTAGTTGAATAAAGATCTGCTGATCTCTTTGAAGGTTTGGGTGTTTTTTGGGTCTTTTCTACTTTCTCACAGAAGTGTTCGTGCTTACATTTCATCAGGTTGTTGGCAGCTTATCAAGTATATCTTTATTATATTTTTTTATTTTATGATTATTTGATATTGAAAAGTGATCCTTCATGTCACATCTCTGATCAGTCTTGAAGTTGGGTTAATTTGATAAGATACTTTTTCCAAGGTTTTTCCAAGATTTTCGTTTAACCAGCAGAGGTCAGTATTAACAACAGATGTTAAGGGAAGTAAGTGTAAATTGTCATCACACATTCATCACCACCACATTGATCACAAATGCCTGGTTTATTTATTTATATTTTTAATTCCAGACCTCACTTCAACTGTATTTTAATCAAATCTTCATCAAATGTTTTTTCCTGAAGTTGAGATTGATTTATGTTTCCAGCACCTCAGTTCCAAATGTGTTACAAGTACACACCAGCAGTACAGGTGTACCTGAATAGTTGACATTAGAATTGAAGAGCTGACTATTGATTTTTTTTTTCTACATGCAGAAAAAAGTGAACTGTAAACAGCTTTTAAACAAACACCAGCCTTTAGCTTCAGTCTGCGAGTTCAACGCTCTGCCATCTGACACTGCACTCCGTCACATGGTTGTCACTACACCCGACACCTCAGCCATATCACCACCTGAGAGGATACTAGAGAACGGGACAATGGTTTATCAGGCTGTCTGCTGCTGCTGCTGCTGCTGCTGCTAGTGGAGCTTGTTTTTTTTTTTGTTTTTTTTTGTTTGCTTTCTGTGTTCCCTTACAGCGGTTAACAACTGTAATGCTGTGTTATTCTGGATTCAGAAATCCATTACATCTGTTACAACTGTTTAATAGTGTAGAAAATGCTAATTGGTAAGATACATGCCTTTGTATTTAAAAAAAGGTCTTAAATAAGTTATATGTATTATAATATATTATATAAATTATATTCCTATATATACTATAAAAAATAAAGGCTAAGCTTTATCTACAGTCATGCCATTCAATTGAAACTGTACTGCGAAGCATTTAACCTGTTGTTATAAATCAGCAAAACAAAAAAACATAATTGCAGATGAGCCTAGACTAAAATATTATGCATAAATAAATGTCAAAGATTTCCTGTAACAGACGATTTATTTTTAAAATAAAAAAATAGACTACTTCATCCCAAAAAAGGAATTAGATGCAACACTAATTGTCTCAATTTAAAAGATTGACAAAACACAGGACTAAATACAATTAGTTTTTTTTTTTTCCCTTCTTATTCTACAGACAGCTTTGTTGTTGGCAGAGTCAGACACAGATGCTATAAATACAGCAGCGGTAGATCATTATGTAATTTCAGGTCCAACAATCACAGCCAGTGACTGCGGATTATTAACCTGACGTCACATCACGTGACAGCGACCAGACGTTTGAGGAGGATTCCTGCGCGTCTGAGAGTTCGTCCTGTAAATGAAACTAAACATGACTATAATGTCAGACACCGGTGACAGTAGCTGCGGTAGTAATCAACAATGTTTGCGGGGACTTTAAGGCTTTATCGACGAACTGACGCGTCGCGCGTCTCTGTCGTCATCGAATGTGATCCCTGTTCCGTGCCCTTATATACTCTGATGATGAGCGCCCACACCCTACGTCACTGTGACGGAGATGACGCAGAGGATGGAGGACACAAGATTCAGTCGTTAGCATCTGGGCTGTACCAAGACAGAGACACCTGCTACGTCACTCTTAATGACGTGGTTGGTGGTTTCTGTGTTGTGCATTTGACATATGTCGATTTCTAAATCCGTAAATAGTATTTATAATTTAAAAAAATATACACTGTGTACGTACGTTACATTGACTCCAGATTCAATTACTCTTTATCTTACCGTGAGTCAGACCCTCTATTTTTGGTACAGTTTTTTTCTTGATTGTAACAGTTTTACAGAATGATGACACTGTCCTGAACACAGGATACGGGGTCAGAGGGAAAATAGTAGTTTTAAAATTTTAAATTCAATCTTTTGCGTTAATGGTATCATTACACAAATGTAAACCCATATACAGTGGCGTCACAGACGACCATGTTCACGTGTGCTAAAATTGGAAACTTTTGTTGGATGTTCATTTCACCCTGTTAATAAAACTTCTATTGTGTTTTCATCTCACTCTTTGGGGGAGTGTGTTGCAATGTTTTAATTGGACGGCCTAACAAATGATAAACACAATGACTTTTTCACCCTCGTTGCTCCAACACTTGCACCAAAATGTCAAATCAAAACATTTAAAAATGGATGAACATGTGTTGCATCTGTGACCTGTCAGATTCATGCGCGAGTGCATTATTTTATTTTCCCTCTTTCTCTGTTATGTCAGAAGTGTCCATGAAGCCCCGTGCGTCACTAACCACCTCCCCTCCTCATCCTGCCCCTCCTCCTCCTCCCCCCCCTGCCGCGGCTGGGGCCTGCGGTTCTCTCTGCCCCTCCCCTCTTTT